GCATAAAAATCGTATGCACGTTGCGTGATTTTTAGCCATTTTTAGGGTTTTTGCATAGTAAAGTGCATCGAGTGGCACACTTTGACCGCTAAATTAAACATTGAAAAATTAATAATTATTGAAAGACATTGATTCGGTTTATACGAAAATCGCATGCGCATCAACTGATTTCAATTAATTCGCGAATTGCAAGCTTTTCAATATTGATCATTTTTATGTATTGTAAATGCAATATATTTAGCCATTAATGACGTCGAAACTCTTATCAGATGAATCTGCCGATATTTAACAATCATCTAAAAGAATTTGCAGAAGAAAGCGTCGTATATTTTAGAAGATTAAGGCAAAACCGTATCCTCTTAACCATACTAAAAAAATCGAAAATTCAAAAAAAAAAAATAGTTTTAATTCAAACATTAATTTATTTTATTTTCCGATATCTTCATGTTTCTATTTGTTTTTCGCGACTATTAAACCGTATTTCAGTGTGATTTGACTAGTATGCAAAGAAAACAATGGTGTTTAAGCATTTGTGAAGAAATTCGCGAATTACAACGAATAGGAATCCATTTAATATATATTTGAAATACAAGATTTAAAACCGCTATAACTTTTGTGCGCAGCATCCGAATTTGTGAACGCGAACAGATTTCGAATCAGCATATTTTTCTTAACCTATGTACCAAAAATCATAAATGTGCTCGCAAAAAAAATTTTCAAAATTTTTTTAATGGAATTTTAAAAGAATTTTGTAATTTCCCATATACAGTAGCGAACAGAAAGGAGCTCATGTTTATACTTTGGACAACTTTTACGTCAAAAAAATATAAAAGTTAATAAGCAAATTTAAAAACGTTGGTTTTATTTTGTACTTAACAAAACTACATAAGTTAAAAATGTAACTCTTAGATTTCTAAGAAAAAAAAAATTAAATCAACTCCAATGTACTCACTTTTTCACGTTTGAAAAATATTTGCAGAAAACGAATATTATTATTACTTATACCGAAGTTTTATATTTTTAATGCATGATTTATGCAATTTGGCATACTTTCTTCCAATTTTTGTACAATTTCATTTGAAATATTCTTACAATCACATCAGATTCGCTGCCAAAGTTTGATTGGTTCTGTCCCACCTGTCTCTTTACGATTGGCCCCAAATTATCCTTCGGATTGAGGTCGAGACTTTCTGCTGGCCACTGTGTTATTTGAAAATATTGCTCACCAAAATATTCTGTCACGATTTTGAACGTGTATCTTGAATCATCGTCCTGCTAATAATTACTTCCCTTACAGGATAGGAGTTCTTATCTACCAAGACCGCTTGATATGAGTCCACAATGATCTCAATAGATTTTTTTCATTATTGTATTGTCAATTTTTATACCCTCCACCATAGTATGGAGGGTATATTAATTTTTTCATTCAGTTTGTAACTCATCGAAATATTCATTTCCGACCCTATAAAGTATATATATTCTTGATCAGGGTAAAATTCTAAGACGATCTAGCCATATCCGTCCGTCTGTTGTAATCACGCTATCTTCTGAAGGAATTGAGATAGGGTGCTGAAATTTTGCATAGGATTGTCTTTTGTTTGCAGGCAGGTCAAGTTCGAAGATGGGATATATCGGTCCACGTTTAGGCATAGCTCCCATATAACAGTACCCCCCCCCCCCCAATTTTCGGTATTTTGGGGTTCTTCAGCGCGTTTTTCAACCGAATACGCTGAAATTTGGTACATTGGGTTCTTATTGGGTACTACATGTCCCCACAAAAAATTATAAATATAGGTCCACTGTTTCTGGTAGCCCCCATATAACGGTATCTCCTAATTTTCAGTATTTTGGGGGTTTTGATCGTATTTTTCCGCCGAATTAGCTGTAAATTAGTATTTTGAGTTCTTAATAGGTATTAAATCTCTCCACAAAAATTATGAATATAGGTCCATTTTTTCGGATAGCCCCCATATAAGAGTACCCCCAATTTTCGGTATTTAGAGGCGTTTTTCAGCCGAATTCGCTGCAATTTGGTATTTTGTAGTCGTATATGGTAACAAATCTCCCTACTAAAAATTATTAATATTCGCCCCTTTTTTGCCGTAGTCCCCATATAACCCCCTGTTTATACCCTCCACCATAATAGTATGGAGGGTATATTAATTTTGTCATTCCGTTTGTAACTCATCGAAATATTCATTTCCGACCCTATAAAGTATATATATTCTTGATCAGGGTAAAATTCTAAGACGATCTAGCCAAGTCCGTCCGTCTGTTGTAATCTTCTGAAGGAATTGAGATAGGGTGCTGAAATTTTGCATAGGGTTGTCTTTTGTCTGCAGTCAGTATAGGTCCACTTTTTCTGGTAGCCCCCATATAAGGGTACCCCAAATTTTCGGCACTTTGGGGTCTTGAGCGGGTTATTCAGCGGAATTCGCTGAAATTTGGTAGAGTGGGTTCTTATTGAGTACTAAATGTCTCCACAAAAAATTATAAGTATAGGCCCACTTTTTCTGGTAGCCCCCATATAACGGTATCTCCTAATTTTTGGTATTTTGGGGGTTTTGGTCGTATTTTCCCACCCACTTGGCTGCAATTTAGTATTTTGAGTTTTTAATAGGTATCAAATCTCTCCACAAAAAATTATGAATATAGGTCCATTTCTTCGGATAGCTCCCATACCCCCAATTTACGGTATTTAGGGGTTCTTGAGTGCGCTTTTCAACCGAATTCGCTGCAATTTGGTATTTTGTAGTCGTATATGGTAACAAATCTCCCTACTAAAAATTATTAATATTCGCCACTTTTTTGGCGTAGTTATCTAATTTGTTCCTCGTTTTGGGTTTGTTTCTAAGAGTATGTTGTAATCATTTCACCTGCGGAGGATATCGAGGTAAAAAGCTAGAACGTAATGTTCGATAATGATCTATATATGAACTATAACCCGCATTTAGGCCCTGTGTGGAAGGTACCAGAAGGAGTGGACAGATATTCCCAATCTTCGAAATTGAACTAAGTTTGGAAGAAATAATAAGATTGACAATGTTTGGATGAAATCATAATTTTCTGAAACAAATTTGGTCCAAAGAAACATGGGGTTCTAGAACCAATATTTCCATGAGGCCCATTTTCGCCTTGTCAAAGTTTATACACCTTCATAAGACGTAAGGCTGAGGGTATAATTATCAATAATTATCAATTCTGAAATTTGTTTTATGGTTTACATAATCGGTTTGTAGAAATGTCGGTATAGGTACACTTTTTGGTATCTTCCCTATATTTTATTTTTGCAAAATAGTCAGGCTGAATCCCAGTTTGTTGTTTTTTGTTATATTTTCATTTCAAGTACATGTCAGTATATCTATGGTGGAGGGTATCCATAAGTTCGGCCGGGCCGAACTTTGGCTTGTTTATATTAAAATAGTTATCTGATTTGTTCCGCGTTTTGAGATTGGTTCTAAGACTCTTTTGTAATCATTTCACCTGCGGAGGATAGAGAGATAACAAAATAGAACGTAAGGTTCCATAATGAACTATAGCCGCATTTAGACCTAGTCCCTGATTGGATGTCCCAGAAGGAGTGGACCGATATTCCCATCTTCGAATTTGAACTAAGCTTGGAAGAAAAAATAAGATGGGCAAAGTTTGGATGAAGTCTAAATTTTCTGAAACGGATTTGGTCCAAAGAGACGTGGGGTCTAAAACCAATATTTCGATTAGGCACATTTTCACCGTGTTAAAGTGTATACACCCTCATTAGCCATAAGGCTGAGGGTATCCTTTAAAAATTTCTAAAATTTTTATTATGGTTTACATAATCCGTTTTTAGAAATGTCGGTACAAGTCCACTTTTTGGTATGTTCCCTATATTTTCATTTCTAGTACCTGTCAATATATCTATAGTGGAGGGTATCCAAAGTTCGGCCCGGCCGAACCGCTTTTTCACTTGGTTTGCTTCGGTTCAAGACCTACAATTTAAAGCCAACCCATACCATTGTAATTCCTCAACCGTGCTTCACATTAGGCCTGTGAATTAGTTTTCATCATTAATAATCTTATTATTATCGTCGGATTTAAAACGATTGTATTTGAATTCGTCGGATCTTATCACACGCTTCCAGTCGACCACTGTTCAACTTGAGCTCGTTGAAAATGCTTTACCCTGATTTTGCAGTTTTTTCCAAAACACAGTTTTTAGGTTTGTTACTGCTGCTATAGCCAATGTCGGGAAGTGCTCTTCACGTCGTTCACCGATTAACAGGTTTGAGGAGTACTAACGAAGCATATTTTGGTATTAAAACTTATCAATTCACTTTTCCCGTAGGTCCACACAACTTGGAAGCGGAACGTCGTTTTATATTCTTGATCAGCGTAAAATTCTGCCGGCAGGTCAAGTTCTATGATGGGCTATATCGGTCCACGTTTTGGTATAGCTCTAATATAAGGGTACCCCCAATTTTTAGTTTTTGTGGGGTTTTGACCGGATTTTTTTCACCGAATTGCCAGTGAGTTTTTAATAGGTACCAAATCTCTCCACAAAAAATTGAATATAGGTCCATTTTTTCCTTCATATAAGGTAGCCAAACAGACGAACGTGGCTCAACCGTCATTGAATTTTATTCTGTCCAAGATGATATATATTTTACGGGGTCTTTTGTGAATATTTCGAGGTTCGAATAGCAATTTTAATACAGTAGAAATATTGGTAAACCCACATTTTAAATTCATACCACATGTCTTTTATGAATATAATTCCTTCAGCACTCTCTCCCCATTTCTATATATAACTTTACTATATATTTTCAGTTTCTTCGCCATGACCAGCTCATATGTATGTCGTTTGTGTCGAACATCCTGCAAAGACAGTATACGACTATATAGCGCCAGTGGAGGAACAAATGAAATATATGACATTACTATTAAATTTTTTCATCCAAGGGTAAATTAAATCCTCTTTTTATAAAACAAATTCAACACCGTTCAAACAAATATTGTTTTAGATTTTAAGGACGGCAAAGGAAACTGGACAGAAAAATGCTGTTCTTTGTCTGCAATGTTGGCATCATATCTCTGATTTTAATAGTTTTCAGCAGACAGTTCTATTGTTACATGCCAATCTTAATGAGACCGTTGAAAATGCTGTAGCTCAAAAACCACCGAAGTCTCCTTCAAATGATAATAATGATCCATTGCAAATTGTTCCCACTAATGTGATGAAAATAAAACCTGATCCTGAGACGATTACACCAGATGAGGAGGTACAAGAACAACAACGCTCACAAAATGAAGTAAAATTGGAAACGAATTTGGATGCAGCAACATCATGTGCAGACTTCGATGAAAGTAAATCATTTCAAATTGAAAATGCCATGACTGACGATAATCATGAATTTCTAAATGAAGACGAGGATGTCGAGGACGATAGTGATTATGATAATTCCATGTTTGATGAAATGAAATTTGAAGTTGGCACTTTAAATAGCTCCAATGATCAGTTACTTGAATTGCGCGAAACTGGACCATCCACTAGCAAAAAGCGGAAATCGAATAATAGCCCGTACGACGACGAAGCACACTGTTCCGATGATCAGTTACAATCCCGAGATGTAACCACATGTGTGAAATGCCACAAAACCTTTGTCTATCGCACTGGATTGTATCATCACCAGAGAAGATGTCATCCAGAGATGTTCACAAAAATTCGAAAGACCCCTAAAGAAATCGATGAAATCATAGCCAAATGGAAGCCCAGCCTCAATTGTGAAGTTTGTCCGAAGTCATTTCCCACCTTTACCTTGCTGAAGTCACATTTCCAGGCTGAACATCCCAATCAGGAGTTTTTCGTCTCGTGCTGTGGTCGCAAATTAAAATATCGCTTTCGTGTCGAGGAGCATGCAGCGATTCACATGAACCCCGCGACATTTAAATGCATATTGTGTGGTAATTGCTTTATGTCCAAAATAAATCTCAAAAATCACATGGAGGTAATGCATCCCACGGCCAAATTAGCTACCGGAGAGGATGACAACAGTGCAGTAAAGTGTTCCGAATGTGGGCTAAGTTTTGGCGATGAAGCAACACTGCAGGAGCATAATAAAATCCATACTGAAATAACTGCACATCACTGTCAATACTGTATTCGATGTTTTGATGATAAGTATGCTTTGGTCCAGCACATGGCTAGCGAACATCCAGATCAACCGAATTCAAGTACTATGATGTTGAATACGTGTGTGCCATGCAAGAGAACATTTGACTATCGCTCGGGATTGTATCATCACCAGCGGAGGGTTCATCCGGAAGAATTCGCTAAACGAAAGAAGAAAAAGAAAAATCGTCGTATTCTTCAATCGGATCCTTTGAATTGAGAAATGGATTCTATTTTATTATATCATTTACATTGTTTAATTATAAAATAAATTCCGTTAACAAAAATTAAACCTGTGTGTGTTTTATTAGTTACTTTATAGATTTTCCACCACCCTACATGGGAAAAAGTCAGCTTTGAAGCACAATAACACATCAGAAATTTTCCGGTCCGTTTGGTTTTGTATTAGGAGTTTCATGAAAAGAGTCGTTATAAGCTCCACCGACGTACCGCGATATTCAGATATCTTTGGTCATTTTTTCTATATTGCATAAACACGTGGCGGAAAACCGTAAATAGACGGGAGGAACTTTTACACTTTCCATCATGAGGAGGACATTCAAAATACAAATAATACAATAGGGACTTTTATGTGGGGGTCCTGCCATGGTAGATTGCTGCCTAGAGAAAACGAAACACCAAACTAGAACACTAATGCACAAAATAGTACGATAGCGGTGATTGCCAAACACGTTTTCTCTTTGTCTCTCTTTGCGTCAGTCATTTTTGTTGATGATCTCTCAGTTACGCTCTCACGCAATTACTCTTAATTTAGTTCTGTTCAACTCTGAACTAGAAACACTCTATTGAAAATTGGACTAGGACTTTGGGGAAAGTTGGAAACATGGGCTCATTGCAAATGTTTTGTGAAGTAGTTCTCTGGTAAATATAGTCACTTAGGTTGGAAAATGGTCCGAAGTAATTATTTACAGCCAATTCGTTTAAAATGTGAATATATGGTTTTATGGCAGAACCCCCACTTTTCCAATTTGAATTAAAAATAACAAGTGGAAATGCCGTTAAGTTCAGCTGGACTAGACTATTTACACCCTCCACCACCATTCTAAATTCGATTGGAATATTTATATGGGGACTCTGTTATGGTGTTTTGTGATAGGAGGTTATTCATGCTCCAAGTTACAGACACTCTAGGGAATTTAAAATTATTTTTATTAAAACCATGAATACCATATGTTAAATTATAGCCATGAGAAAATCCGTTTAAAAAATGTATTAATACCGAAAAAGAAGAACAAATTTTATGTGGAGCAATATGAAAGTTTGGACCTTTATATATACAGCACAGATTGGTATTTAAATCGGCCTTCCAGAACCCTTTATACCAGCATCATCGGTTAGAAGTCTACAAAATACCAAAAATGACAATACCGATATGTCGGAGATATGCCAAATCGTATCCTCACATTGAAAATTTTTCGTAGGAAAATTTGATTTGGTAGAAAATTGATCATTTTCGATAAGAAGATTAATACCCCATGAGAACCAAATATAGCAATTCGTTTTAAAAACGAGTAAAACTCCTTAATATACCGAACAGTTGGGGTCACCGTTAGTGGGGGCTATACCAAAACGTGGAGCGACATACCCCATTTTAATACAAACGATGCTAGGAGTAACAGCAATGCCAGTACAAAATGTTAAAGCTTTATCATAAATACTGCGAAATCTATCGTGATTTCAACAGACGGACACTCATAAATAGACATAGAATTTTATTCTGATCAAGATGGTGGAGGGTATAAAAATACGATTACGATGAAAGAAGAATGTATTGGAAATGATCCAACTCCAGGGAAAGTTGTTCGTGGTAGAAACACTTCGGAACAAATGGTCACATATTTCTTTGACAAAACTGATAATGTGGCTTGACGGGGACCTTTTAACACATTTGGACTTATATAGAACATTTTCTGAAGGTTATTGGTCAAAGCTTGGAATTCAATATTGCAGTCGCTTGGGTTGGAAAATTCGTCTAAAACATTCAAAATACCGAAAATGGGGAAAAATAAAAGCCACTTGGGCCGGAATCCCAAATTTGAGCTATTTTGGTTGGAAAATACTGCTAACACCTTCAATGTTCTGAAAATGAGGCGGTATCATTAATATGTGAGATATACCCAAACGTAGACTCATATATCCCATTTGCCATCATCTAACATCCTATGAGTTGTTGCAAGGTGTATGCAACATTTCAAAGCTCTATTGTGAATGCGACAGTCAGACAGACATGAATAAATCGACAGAGATTTTTATTCTGGTCAATACTTTAGGGGGTATCCTACGATTACACTGTGCGACACGAAAATTTTTCAGGGGTTCTAATGTACCAATTCTGTTTAGTTGAAGTCCCTGGACCACGAAAATACCTTTGGTTATTCTGGGTCACTTCGAAAATTAATTTTATAACGGTAAATATAGAGAAAAACGCGGTTTCATGGATTTTCCATTTGGAACTTAAATAACTTATTTACTTTATAACGGATTTATACTATTCTTTTTTTCTATCGAAGAGTACAATTTTTCCTTTCAAACAAGATATATATTTGGTAAATCGGTTGAGGATTGGCTGAGTTACAGCGGTTGAAATGTGAAAAAATACGCATAAAGTGACAAAATTTATTTTTCTTCGGACTGTACGATGAAATTATGATATCAAGCCATATAAGTTTTATTATATTACGGGGAAGAAAATTAAATTAGCTTTCGAAAATGATAAAAATCAAAAAAATCGGTTAAAAAATGAATGACTTATACACATGTTTGTATTGATTCTATGCATATTCTCTAAAGGAAATATGGGTCTATATCGTTTCCCTTTGCCTGTTGCAAACATAACGGTTTGTAACAGGAAACGATACAGACCCATATTTCCTTTAGAGAATATGCATAGAATCAATACAAAAATGTGTATAAGTCATTCATTTTTTAACCGATTTTTTTGATTTTTATCATTTTCGAAAGCTAATTTAATTTTCTTCCCCGTAATATAATAAAACTTATAGGGTTTGATATCATAATTTCATCGTACAGTCCGAAGAAAAATAAATTTTGTCACTTTATGCGTATTTTTTCACATTTCAACCGCTGTAACTCACCCAATCCTCAACCGATTTACCAAATATATATCTTGTTTGAAAGGAAAAATTGTACTCTTCGATAGAAAAAAATAATAGTATAAATCCGTTATAAAGTAAATAAGTTATTTAAGTTTCAAATGGAAAATCCATGAAACCGCGTTTTTCTCTATATTTACCGTTATAAAATTAATTTTCGAAGTGACCCAGAAAAACCAAAGGTATTTTCGTGGTCCAGGGACTTCAACTAAACAGAATTGGTATAATAGAACCCCTGAAAATTTTTTTTTTGTTATTTTGTAGCACAGTGTTATTATGAGGCGTTGCAAATGGAATGTCATGTCGTTGAAAATGTAATGTCCACCTTGTGGACGACGGTAAAATTATATGGATTAAATTTCATTAGCGCCATCTATGTGTCTTTCCGATCAATATCAATTCTTGGTACAATTAACGAAAAATTAGCTGTGTCTGTTTCTCGATATTTGTAACAATTATTATCAAATGTAAATATAGTCTATTTAACCAAAGTCCCGTAAAAGAGAGCTATTTTGACAGTTCTACGCTGAGAACTTACTGAATGTTACTGGGTAAATTTATTCTAGTAAGATTAATCCAACACAATTCAATATTTTAATTAATTTTAAAGTAACGAGTAAATGTAACTGGATAAGTAGTCAGACACAAATATTATCATTATAGGAAAAAATTTTAAATTACGGGTTTTTTCGAATATAGAGTTGACATTACTTGTGTCTGCAACTTCATACAGTTCTCTTTTAATGTTATACGACTATTCTTCTATCGTTCTCTTAGCTAACAATTTGAGTCGAATGTTTCATTTCTATGCGTAGTTGGTCGAGTCATTGATATTTTGCAATGTGATGCGTGCTAAAGATGCCACATTTGTACGTGCATACATGTACATATGTATATTTGTACAATAAATATATGGTATTTCGATATGCAAGAGGGTATTGCTGACATTTTGTACTAAACTCACTTAACCAATTTGGCACAAAAAGAAAACAATGTCGTGATTAAGTGAGAAAAAAAATACATTTAATCATAACAAACCTCAGTGTTGACACTTCCAAAACTTAGTTTCGTTGTTTGTTATTCCAATTTAATTTATTAATTTCCAATATTTTAGCTTTAGATAATAATAAATAACTATACTGCGAAAACGTGTGTAGGTTACCCTAAAACACCTTTCGTATTTTGTTCTTGTTTACTCGGGCAGCACACTCACAAAATCTAAAATCGTATTTCATTTCTCGTGTACAAACTGAGTACATTGGCTGTGGTAACGTTTCAGTTGAAAGGCAACAGTGAGCGAGTTTGCTTGTGTTTTCTCTATTGGACAGTTTGTGAACTAAACAGAAAACCGACGACTGCTGTTGTGTTGTTGTTATTTTATAGCAGTAAGTATGTACACATGTTGGTTATGTTTTTTATTTTGTGCGACACAACCTCATTACTGTATCTTAATAAGCAACAGTCGTCAAGAATCTTTTATAACGTTCGTACATACGTTTGACAAAACATACGTTTGTTACTATATTGTTTTGTGTTGGAGATATTTTGAGATTTCATTGTCCAAACTTTGGACTCCAAAGGCAATCGTTTTATGCACAAAACAAAAAAATATCGAAGCGGGTTTCATTTAGTACAAAATTTGTAGTTATTCTTGGCTTTGTTTTGTCATGTTTTCTCTTTGTGAACGAAATGGAATGAAACTTTTGCTATTGGAAAATGTGGAATGAAACAACCCGTAGTAGTTTGAAGTTAAACATTATTCATATACATATAACAGAACAGGCATTAAAAGTATCTTAACATAATATAAAATTTATATTAAGTTAAAGTATTTTAATGTCTATTATGTTTTATATTATAAATCGACTGGATTTACATTAGAACTTTTTGCCGGGTTAACCTTCTCTATGAGGATTTTTATGACATATGGGCACTTCCGCAGCCACTTACACGACATTCAGAGGAAAAGTCAAATGTTAAATAAATCAAAAACAATTTAATTTTTTACAATTATCCCGCAAATATACATGACTTTAGACACCATTGCTAATAATGGAAAAACGAATTGTGTGAATATTTTTAAGGA